TATCTTGGAATTTCAACATGTAAAGGGGAAAACAGTGAAAAGGGGGATTTTTATTACTGTAACTAAAAATGATCAAAATCAGCACTCAATATTCCATTTTAGTATAACTAGCTTGAATCAGAAAACTGAAGCAGGCCTGGTAAGTTTGTAAATTAGTGACAATAAAACAGATACGAAAACACTTTATAGCATACCACTCAAATACACAAACACGATGTAATTGCCTGTTTTATTTAGTGGAATCACTTTTGTAGATCAGAAATATTTCCAATTCCCATTTACTCCAATGCAAGCCTCCACCATTGACAGGCATAATGCAGTTTGTTCAACTGATTCCAAAATAAAAAAAAAAAAGAGAAAAAAAAGTACAATCTCAAAAGTTAAGTTAGAAACTAAGTTCACACATTTTCTTTGGGACCAGGAATCTGTACATAGTACAAAATATACATTTATTGAACTTTCTGTAAACACACAGTTTGAATTGTGTAAAACTGTAAATAGTGGGTGAACTACGTGGAGAATAATTTATTATATATCGTTATACATTCTACTTAAGGAAAATAGTTATGCTTTTGTATATTACTCTGTTAAATTTATAAATTCCATAATGAAGCTGTGTAATCTGCAAACATGCTTTTCAAGCTTAAATCTCCCATTCGTAACACACATTTATACAGGTCATCAATGAAAAAAGTTACACTTTCCACAAAATAGATATAAAGAGGTCATGAATTTTCTAAAAAGACAGGCACAGCATGTCACTACAAACGAGACTCTTATGATACGACGTGGAGTCAATTCTGTGAGAAGACAGGTGAAAACTCTCTAATTCAGCATGTTTGTACGTGGTCTTAGTAACAAGACAGATGCTAGAAACCAAAATCTCTGCTTTGAAAGATTTATAAAGCAGCCAGTTCTGGAAATCAAACCTCACACTTTTCAAATATCCAGCATTCCCTGGTTAGGAGAATCTAGGCTTTTGTCTCGTATTAACCCTTCGTCACTAGTAGTTTAGTTTTCCGAGTGGTGAACTACCTGGCATGATTTGCCAAGAACATTTGCATAATTCAGCACTTACTCCAAAAACTAGATTCCTGGCACCAAAGAGTTAGATCTGGTTAATAAATGCAACTTAACTCTTGGTACTCAAGGTCATCGTGAATCACACCATCAGCAATAAAACGAATGCTAGGAAATCCCAACTTCCAGCATCAAATGGTTGCACGGCATTAAGCCGCAGAACACGTATTGGCAGGTTCTGCAGCACCTCACAAACTGGGGACTCTGTTGTATAATGCCCAGTTTCCAATTTAAGAGTCTGGAAATTTCAAATTGTAGCAGACTTGCCAATCTAGCATCAAACACTCAGCAAGAATAAAAAGCTTCTGTGAAACCACCAAAAAAGATCCTTTCAGTAGGTCCATCACTGGACACAGAAATAATGCTATGTAAATTCAGAACATTTATTCCTAGATTTTAAGGTCTCATTGTTTTTCCATCCTGGGTAATTCATTTTGGGTTTCATCTTTTCATTTATTCTTTACAGCTAAAAGCACTACATCAAAGGCCAAACCTCTTAAACTGTGCCCTTCTGATGTTTTAAAAGAAAAAAATGCTGACTTACATGTTTAAAGAATTATGATATTGTTATCTCCAATTAGTCTAACATTTTGCTTTAACATTACCACTTTCTTCCCTTTGACTTTAAAAAGCTTTTTCCAAACCAAAACTGAATAAAGGTTACATTTCTTTTTCATTCCAAGAAAAGTGGGACAGTTAAGGCTCCAACAATACACATGCAAACTTTATATACTGGGAGTGAAGCTCCATCAACATCAGCAGGATGTAAAGTTAAATACGCGCCTGATTTTCCCAAGACTATCTTAATTTAATTTTCCCCTGTAGTTTGAACAAAAATACTGTGCTTCAGCCTGAAAACCCAACAGTGAAAATGAAATCGGCTACTCAGCATTGCCATTGCTCAGGCTGGGTTGAATTCAGTAATGCAAGTGAAATTAAACTCTGGACCTCAGTCTGTAGGCATTGACAGAAGTAAAAGCATGCAATATTTTATGACCTGCCAGTCTGTTTTCTCGTTTTTCTTCTCAAAGATATTTCTCAAAAGAAACAACAATGGTACCTCCTTCAACTCTGGAGGCTTACTCACAATACGTATGGAGAGCCCTGTCTACTTCAGCTGTAAAAAAAACCATGCTCCCACCACCTCTTCAGAGCCATACAGTTAATGGAAGCAAAAATGAATTTCAGTTCGAGCTCAATGTTACCGAGTGAGCTGAGAAGTGCAGATGTAGTGCTCTTAAAGGAGAATGTTACTATCTGACACAGCACTCACCCTTCCAAATAAATGGCTGGTTACATAGTAGTAAGGACCATTGATTTTATTTCTCTTTTTTTAGGGGAAAAAAAAAGTAGATGTCTAGCGATATTTTAAAAAGCATTTGGGCAGGAATCAGTACAAGTTAAGGTAAAAATCCAGCTAGGCATAAAACAATGTATAGTCTAGAGATCTGACCTGTCATCCCACCTCTACGGAAAATTTTGACACTTTCAGTATAGAACCATTTCATTAATTCTATAAAAGGCATTTTTAAAGTTAAGCCCACTTCCCCAAATTTTGTGGTTGCAAAAGGCAGGGGGGTTTTGCTGTTGTTGCTGCATTTAAAGCAAGCCTCCCCCACAACCCTTTCCTAAGAGACCGTTATCACTCCTGTTCTCTTAGCTTGGAAGCAAAGACTTTAGAAGACTGTCTGGGCAGGGGGGGGGGAATCTCATTTACTGCTACTCAAAAGGAACATCAAATAAAAAAATAGATAAAGCAAGGAATATGCAGAGAGCCTAGGTCACTATAGGTCAACAAATCCAACACAATCAGGAGATTAAAGCTCCAGACATTTTTTTCCACATATTAAGTAAATAGTAGAAATATTTATAGTTTTTTCTGGAAACAAGTTTTTTCAGTGGGAGATAAACTCAACTTTTAGCATGTTTTATATTTTTTTTTCTACTTGAAAGCATTTAGTGGTCCATAAGAATAACGACAAGCTTCAGTTTTCCTACAGCTTCCTGAACTTCTGTGAACAAATGCCACGATCCAGGTGACTGCTCCCTCATTTATAAAGCCACATTATTAAGCAAAATAAGGCTACAGAGTGCTTCAGAAGGTGCACACCTGGGTCCGCAGAGACCTGCGGACTGTGCAAGCACTCCAGAGACAGCTTAGCAAGAGCTCACCAAAAGACTGGATTCTCTGACAGAGAGCCTCTTCACAGACAGGTCAGCCAAAAAAAGTACTTAGCCCCAGATTGTTACTTTTAAATTTTGTTCCATTTTTACAACTTACAGCAGGAATCCCATTCATATTATGCACTACAGCATCCTAGAAATCCACATGTGGAGCCTCTTTTTACCACTTAAAGAGTTAAAAACCCCCTATCCAGCCAAGCAGAGACTTTACACCCTGTATTGGTATATGAAGACTCAGGTTATGATCATCTCAGACACACGCAGCGGTAGGAACAAGGAGCTATACTGGTTATCTAGGAGATGTTATTTTCACACCTCATAAAGCTTGGCACAGAGTAACAATTCTATTTTCTACAGAAAAAAGTCAGGTACAGCCCTATAGCTCTACACAATTTTGCCGTTTCTGAACCTAGGCAAGGTACATCAGGTTTGTATTAAAATACGGTATTTGCCAAATGATGAGGAAAAGGGTAACATTTTACTAAAGGTTAGTCCGCTTCAGACATGGCCAAGTTTAAATATCAAGAAATTTAAATATACGAAGTCATTTGCACATAAAAGCAATTCAAGAAGATGCAGGTAGAGATGAAGGTGAACATCTCAGCATGAAATCCTGATATACATTGAAATAAGGTAAACTGTAACAACCTTATCATTAACTTAATTGTGGCAGCCATGCTGTCTATCCCACAGCAGAGCAACGTATGTCTAGAGAAAGCGAAAATATGTTTGTCAGCACGTAACTCATACACAAGATGACATTAAAACCAAAGTCTCATGATTCCAGTTTTAAGAAGAATGTTTACCAAAATGTTTGTCTTAATTATAGAGTGGAGAAAGATCTGCAAAGGCTTCCGATACTCCCTACAGAGGTCAATCATTTATCTGTTTAGGGTGTAGTTTCCCAAACTGTTGCAGAAGGGGTGGTGCAACCATTCCCTTGCTCTCAGTCCTGTCTCCCCAGCCCGCATCTTGCCCTAGTACCAGCATCCCATAGCTGGATGATCAACTTACCCAGATGAAGCGTACAGATTTTTTTTTCCTTTCTCCTAACTGCACGGCCACATAAGCATGAGTGCTGGCACAAAAAGGGCAGCAGGGGCAAACTTACAGCAATAGTTTAGTCTTGATATTTGATCATGAAAGCATATCCTTAGTTCATAAATTACTAAAAAATGAAATGCAATAGGAAGTCTATCCTATCCCAGTGTATCAAATTAAGATGGGATTCTTACCAGGGAATCAATTGAAGTGAAATTTTGTTAAATCACCTTTTTAAGTTTCCAATTCTTGAACTGAGCAAAATGGCTCAGAGTTTAACCTATATAGCTGAGACAGTACCAGCTTTGCAGTAATTTAACGGACACTGAAGTCAGTTTATCGTAAGTACATGTTAAAATGATTACCTTTGGCACCTGCAGGAACTATCAAGGTAAGTGCTACCATTACTCATCTGCTGCTTAATATTCATCAGGCACCTTGCTAGTATGACACAACCTAGGATTACTGCAACTCAGCGTAGTTTAATGACAAGCAGATGAAATTTCTCTCTCCGATTCTGACTTTTGCTGGAAGATTAAAATGAATGATGGCCACACATCAAGGTCTTTGTGGGGCTGCTTCCTGGCTAGGTAAGAGCAAGCCAGCTGAAAGGCCCTGGCTTCACAACTTGCACAGGACCCCCAGATTTCTGCCCTACCACGTGTACCGGGGACTCCATTGATACAACGGGACCCTACTTAATGTAATTGCATTTAGTTAACCCAACATTGGTTTTAAAACACATTTTAGAAGCCTCTGTCTTGAACATATTTCAATGCTGAATTAGTGAGAATTATTTGAAACACTTGTCTATAAAGCAGTACAGGTATTCTCCCAGAATGATCAGTGAAACATTTAATCTGACTATAACAAAACTCACAGAAACTGAAGCCAGTGAAGCTGTCAAACGTAGAAGGAAAACAAAGTCGCATGGCATACGAAGCAAAGTAGCTTTACAAATGTAATTTCCTTTTAAAAACAAGCAAATTGGGACCATCCTATTTGAACATGTATTTAAAAATACATCTTTTAACATCACACAATTTTCATTTTTGTCACACAGGAATCTTTTTCCAAGAGGGAAATAAATAGCACACAATACTTTAAAAAAAAAAAAAATTGCTGCCTTGCCCCTGAGGTGCTAATGTTTTTTTAGCATTTAAAAAAAAGTTTCTGGTGCAAGAAGGAGATGCACAAAGGTGCAAAAGTGCCTTTTCCTTTTCAGAGCGGTGAAAAGTAGAGCTTGCCTCTGTTCTAGGATGCTTTATATACTTAGTTCGCATATTTTGTAATCAAAATCTGTATCTAAAATGGCAGTGTTTATGCATACATAATAGATTCAGTGCTCTGACCTCATCAAAACGCTGAACATAGGCAGGAGAGAGAAAGGCCTGAAACGGGCTTTCTTCCGCTACCCTCAAACCTAGTTACATCGCCTGTAGCAATAGCAGAATTATGTTCTTTCTAACCTTTAGGAGACCTCATAAGAAGAGGCTTCAAATGTATCATTTGTCACTGAGACAGTTTAAGTGATTATGGTTTGAAGTATGGCTTTTCACACCACAGTTTTGCTTCCGATTTTTAAAGTTTAAAAACTCAAAGGTTCCACAGTCCAGTTCAACGTTTTGCAGTTTCCAAAACTAAACTTTAGTCTCTATGAAAAAGGACAGAACTTTATCTGCCTAGTCCTAAATTAGGTTTAGCTTTTTGCACTAATACGCCATGTATTATTAAATATGCTTGTTAATTAGGTGCCTGTGAAGCTATAACTTAACATTATTATAGTTTTGCACTCTACAACAAAATTAGACATTTTAAGCATTTATTCATAGGTAGGTAAGGAACTGGTTCTTAAAGCAAAAATTGCTATAAATTTATAAATACAAATAGTGCTTATGTTTTCTTCATTCATGCTTGAACAGATTACAAACTGAATACAATGAAGTTACGTTTAAGCACCCCACATAGACAAGAGGGATAAAAGAAAAGTTTGCTGGTATATACTATACTTAGTTCCAAGACACTATAAGTTACTTTTTCACTGTCCAGTGTTCCCTAACTCTGCATTAGTTTTAAGGCTATATATACAAATATGTATATTTCAAAGTTAGGGAAAGACAAATATAGCAAAATGCATTGTACTACATTTTCCTATCAAAAAGTAATTATACACCAAGTTTTGATTCTGTTTAACTGCAGTAAATGTTACAATCTACTTGTTTTACTGATTTTCCTTTTGGGGAATCTGCCTACTAAATGAGTAAACTACATATTAAATACAATATTCTCAACCAAAAAGACAATACAAGGTGCACAAAACAGCAGTTTTGCAAACACGACTGACTTGAACTTAATTTTTGTATGCTCAATGGGAGAAAGCTAAGCTTAAATCAAATTAGTTTATTATCTTATAAAATTTTAAATTAGAATTTTAAACAACGAACAGTTAAATATTGTCAACATGCTATATCTCAAATCACAAGTACTGTTTAACCACTAGTCTCTCATTCTAAGTAAGTGGGTCAATTAAAAACACACACCATAAAATGTTAAAGATTGTCAGGCTTTGACAAATGTATTTTTATCAAACAGTAGGCAAATTCAAACCAATGCACATCTTCAGTGGGGAGAAAAAAAACCACAACACCAAAAAGCCTGAAAAAACCCACACTTGTAAAAAATAGGGTAACGGATTAATCCCACATCATCCTCTAGCATATGGCTATGTCTTGGGCAATAATCAAAATCCTTCCCATTTTAAAAATGGGCTACCAATTAATAAAAATATTCTTCCACAAGTAAAATATCATTTACAATGGCACCAACATTTTAAAAGGCAGGAAAAAAGGAATTACACATTTATGGATAAATTTCTTGTTTGTTAAATCAAGCTTTATTGATAAAATGGAATTCAAAGTATTTTACTTGGAACAGCAGCAGACCCAGCCAATCAGGATTGTAAAAATGCTGCAGACTCCTACTGTATGTAGAAAGCTGCCTGTTCGTGCTCAGTGATTAGTAGTTTCAGGTAAGGGTTAATGAAAAAAGAGGTGCAAAGAATCAAGGCATTGTAATCCCAAGGTTCATACGTGTATGAACACGATACTATTAATAGGGCATGATTTAACTCCCACTGAAGTCAAAATCAGAACTCCCTTTAACTCAATGTGAGAGCAGGAGTGTGTCCAAGAAAACAATATACGTTTGTTGAAGAATGTGCACTACTCTTAATTATTTTTCCATTGCCAAGCAAATTCACACACTGTAATTTCTGGTAAGTTTCCCACAAGTTCAGCTTTCATATAAAACAAAAAGTTATCTTTACAGTTTTGTGCACCTCTTGAGCACCTAGCTGGCTAGGCTGCTGCTCCTTGCAATCCAAAACCACAACATGAATTTAAAGGGATATATATTGTTGCATCACACAAGCCAAACGTTTCTTCTAACCTTTATAGTGATTTAAAGCAGTTCATAATTAAATATGAGCATTTTGTACAAAGACAATTGCACTTTACAAAAACAAAATCATACAACATAAATTGCTGGAGTCTGATTTACAACATGAATTATGGTTTGAAATCATGTTTACAGAAGTCTGTTTTACAAAAAAGATCAGTTCCTGGGCTAGATGTCATACTGCTGTAGTCAGTCTCACCAACACATCATATTCCCGTCTTTAATTAAGGATGAGGATGGATGTTAAGAAGGGTCACTGAGGTTGGGCTGCACTTTCATTTGAAGGATGAAACGTGAACTCCACAGCTAGATGAGCAGTTTTACCACATATCATCAGTTGAGGCAGAATCCTTAAAGAAAAAAGAAGGAACCCTTTAAAGTCTGGAGTGCCCACAGTTACAGCAGTTTCTGGATAATCCAGACTGAAAAGGGTAAAGACTTAAATCATTTTAGAAGTCTGTTTTCTCTCCCCTTTCAGAAATAGCATTTAAGAAGTATCTAAAATCCACATATGCTTAATTAATGAAGTATTAGTACCAAGACATTTCAAAATCTGACCAAGTGTTTTATAATAGCCTTATCAATCCTCAAAATAATATCCTAGGAACATTATTCAAAACCATTCTGAGTAGTCAGAAGAAATACAAAATGGATACACTTACTACACAGGTGCATTAAAAGAGCAGGATGTGCCTCATGCCATTTGTTGCTATCATTACCATCTTTTGTGATTTCAGCCCTCCCTCACTTAATAGGAAGACAGTCATCAACTGACACCCTGTTATAATTCAGATCAATTTTAACACTTGTAATTTAAGGTTAGAAAAGTGTAGTTTGGGCAACTGCAGGAAACCCTAACTTAGGATGGTAATAAAACCACAAAGAGAAAAAAATGTATATAAGAAAAAAATTGGAAGCAGAGACATGCCATGCTCTAAATCATAACTATGTGGCCACACAACATGGCGTTAAACCATGCATCCAATACCTGAGTATCCCTAAAATTTGGTCCATTTAGGCCCACAGGCAACAGTGGATTTTGTGTAACTACCACACCCCTGAATAATGTTTAACTGATTCCTGCTATCAGGTAAAAAAAATCCTAGTACAAATCGAATATTTAATTCTAGTACATGTTTTTAACCCATTTGCCTTTATGTCATGTCTGTTTCCATTTCCCTTGCTTAGATTGTTCTATATTCAGCTTTCTCTAACTCCTCATCAGTTGGGTACACAGGTTAACACCACGACTAAGAAGGGGGACCACAGCTCGGTAGCTGAAGCAACAGCTAAATCAGTAGCACAGGCATCAGAGCAAACTGCTTCTGTACAGCAATCTTTGGTTGTTTCAGCGTGCCTGCTACCTCCCCCTAAGTAATTAAGGGCCATGATGGGCTTTAACAACAGTTTATGCTGGTGCTTCCACAGCTACACTTCTCTCATTACTAGGACTGCAGGAGGGAGAAATATTACTCCTCCTTAAAAGCACTGCCTTACTGATTCCTGCAAGAGAAAAGAGGCTAAGTCTCCAGCAATGCCACATACGACAATTTCTTAGCACTAAAGTTCTGCACCCTTCATTCAAACTTGCACACAGAATTCATTACAAACCATAGAGAAGAACAGTTGGCACGGAGGTGTAGTAAAAAAAAAAAAACACACAAAAAACCACAAATCACTAAAATTACCCTTTGCAAAAGTACCACCTCCAGTTTTTTCTTCAAGACCAAAAGTAGCAAAGGAGAGCAATTATATGAAAGACCAAAATGGCTGTGTTTGTTTCAAGTGCAAGGATGAAGAATAAAAGCAGTAGTGAGTAAAATAGTGAGCTGCGTGCCAACTATTCAGTATGCAGATTTCTGTATCCAAGTTGCCAACATCATCGCAAAACAAAGAAGTTTGTGTACTGTACATTTGTAGAAGAGTAACATACTATAGAATGTATTTTGTAGGTAAAGCACCCTCTTTCAGCCACTGTTTAGGAATTTTTATGCTAAAGATATGAGAACTGCCAAATAAACTAGCACTCAGTTGTGAAGCCAATACACAATTCTTTAAGTCTGGATGCATTTCACTTATGTCACATCTAAGCATGTAAGTAATTTTTGCTGATAGGTAAAGGACCAATTTAACTACTTTATGAAGTACAGCACTTCCAGTGACAGAACATTGTTTCCAGTGATCTAACTGCAACTGGGATCAGTGTTCATATTTTAGAGTTTTGCGGTGGTTTTCCCTGCTGACAGTGGCTTCATGTCACTGATCACTGACATATAAGAACCTAAACTGTATGCTTGCTGTAAGATGCTCTACGCTTAAGAATAAAAGTACTTATGCAGTCCATTTGTAAAGTTAATATATCCTTAAAGCTGACAGTTAGAAATCTGTTTATCCTACAAGTATAGCCTTCTTGATATCTGGGGAAAAATGTCTCCCATAAAAGGGAAAAAAAAAATACATGACTCCACTGCACCACTGGGCAGGAAAGAATTTGGAAAACCAGGCAGGATTCAAATAATGAAATTCCATGGGACAAATTAATCAACCATACTGGAGTTTTGAGACTATGATCAGCAGAAGGCAGCAGAAAACAATTACAAAACATAGTCCAAAGAGCACAACATTGCTACTGCTTCTTTGGGGGAAACTGTCTTTTAACAAGAACTAGCAATATGTTTCTTTACAAAACAGCTAAAATAATTGGGGTGGGGGGAAAGATAATGTAAGAGAAAGGATACTTACAGTATCATCATTCCTGTAGGGGTTCAGTCTGTTATAAACAGCTTCAATCACACTCCGTCTAGAGCAAAAAAAAAAAACAAACCCACAAGACTTTAAGGTTGTGTCTTTTTTTTTTTTTTTTAATCAAATTCCCTAAGCATAATTTCAATTTAAAATGCAAACTTTAAAAGGTTTTAAATTCACAGAACCAAGTTTACTGCAAGTTAGCACTAAGCATCATTAAACACTGAACACAGCTGCTGTATCCTTTAAAACCTTTAAGTTCAAGATTAACAAAGCTGAATACCACTCAGATTTCAGCAGGAGGAGAGCACAATCTGACATTCAGTAGAGGCTGCAATGCTGCTTGGTGCTACGTCTCCTGACTTTGAAAAAGGGTGTCAGAAAACTTGATGGACATTGAATGCCCTGATTATTTGTGTGTCTGATGAACACTGCAGTAGTACTTCATGTATTATGGAACTTGCATAGGGGAATAGAGGTTTTTTTATTTTCCGGATGCACAAAAATTGCATTCTGAAGTACGTTTTTGTTAGTGTTATATTCTGAAATGTACTTTCCATGTGCAAACCTGGAAAAATTATTTCTGAAGCAATACCCTTTTACAATAATATACATCCAATACTCTCCTGCAACTTTTCTCAAAAAAATTTAAACTGCAAATAGCAGTCCTACGTATCCTATCTTTAGACTGAGAAGAATTTTGTCTGGTAAAAAAATATTAAAAAACTATTTCAAGCGTCTTTAGAGTTTCCTCCTTTATAAAAATGTGCTTAGCATATTTAAGATAGCTTATAATTAACTTTTGTCTCTGGGATTCTCTGCTTTTCTAATATCAATAGGAAACATTGATAAAATATTAATAGAAAAATTGCAAACAACATGTAAACGAGCAACATGGGGGGGTGTTTGTGGTTTTGTGTTGGGTTTTTTTGTTGTTGTTGGGTTTTGGGGGTTTGTTTGTTTTGGGGGTTTTGGGGGGGGGGGGTTGTTGTTTTTTGGTTTTTTTTTTTTTTTTTTTTTCCCCAGGGGGGAATGGTTTTTTTTAAAACTGATACTCAAACCAATGTGAGCCTGAAGGAAGAGGAAGCCTTTGCCTTACCCAGCATATAAGGAAACAACTTTGGAGGGGGAGCAGGAAGGAAAGAGGGGAGTAAAAGACAGGAATTATAGATTGGACTTTAAAAGCAACTTTCCTCCAGATCCCCTTCTGCAGAACCAAGTATGACGAAGTAGCAGACCACAACTGCGATACAAAACAAACTTCAAAGAACAACCTTTTAACTGCTCATGAATGCATGCAGAGCAATCACAAAGGAGTGCATTAGAAGAAAAAAAGCAGATGATAGGCTTCATAATCATCTCATAACACTGAAAAGTCAGGAACTAACATGCAGCAGTATAAACATCACAGTGAACTAGTGAATGATTATAGGGCATGGAAGAGGCTGAATTTAAAGCAATAAAAACAAGCAATTACACACAAAGTACATTGCACATATGAACTGGAAAATTTCCCTGATCCTTCAAGAAATAGGTGTCTTTGATTCTAAATAAACGCAGGTTGCTTGAAAAGCATTATTTTCCTTCCAAATTGGCAGTAGTGCTTTGAGTTACACTAACATCCAATTAAATCCATACTTCTACCAACCCCTATTCAAACTAGCATCACTAAGACACGAAATCCCACATAAATCAGTCACTTCAGCATTTCCTCATAACCATGATGCTACTGCTAGCCAAAGGAGATTGAGAAAAATCAGTTTGTATGCCATATTTCATGAGTAACTGACTCATTGATACTTCAAGACTACAGCAACACGTCCTAAATAGATGCTGCTATTACATATAAAATGGGCATCTCTTCTTTTCCTAGTCAAACAGTTTGTGTAAGAACAATTTTGTTTTGTAGAAGTCATCTACATTCATTTACATACCTAGAGTCTTCATGTTTTGGTGTAACAATACAAGAATCATACTCTGAAGGGTTAAAAATATAGTCTGCACCACATGTGCCCAATCCATTTTAACACAGCGCAGGTTCACGAACAATCTTTTGAACCAAAAAGCACTTGGTTTGCTATGCAAACAAGCTAAGCACATTGCTTCCTTTAATAATGAACATCAATTTGAGAAGCCACAGAGCATCAACACTGAACTCTTGAAGGACAAAACCAGACTAAAGCTGTACATTTAACTTTTGTTTTTTGATAGACTTCTATCTAGTTTTCAGATTTGTCACAAGCAGACAGATAGAGAAGCAAACTTTGAAGCAATTACAATATTGCTTTAGCTATAGACAAGAAAAGAAAGCTGCCAAGCAAAACATCATGTACATATCACTTCTTGTAAAAGTGCAGAACTACATATTCAAGTAACTACTAAAGTCAGGGCATTATTTTGGCATCTTCAAATGTAACCTCCCACCCAGAAAACACAGTTAATTACAAAAAAACAGACACACTCAGGCCACCCTTAAAAACCCCCAGTCCTTCCCAAAACTACAGTTTGACATTTAATTTTAGTAGTGATTCAATTAACTCTGTTCTTATCTTTTCATTCAGAACAACTGAGTAATAAAAATCAGAAAACAGATCACCACCTTTTGTCCTGTACCCCTCTTCCCTCCCCCCCACTTTTAAGAGTGGCCTTACAGTTAAGTTTTGATTTAAATCAAAAACCACATTTACACTGATGAGAACTCACTTGCTTGCCAATTCACCCCCTGGCGGGAGGTTTGGGATGCTCTCAGTTGCTAACGTACGCATCACGTGGACTAAGTCTGGGACTCCTTCACCCTGCTTCTTTATGATCTCTGGGAATCAGAAGTACTTTTTTTGTAAGTGCAGTCCAAATTTAACTTAAAAAGATTGAAACACTCAGTTTTATAAAAAGGTAGCTTAACTTCTCTTAATATATATATTAAAAAAAAAAAAAAAAGATGACAGACCATATTCAACACGGTAAATGTTAACTTTGGTTCCATAAGAAAAAGAACCTGTAACAGATTTGACAAAGACATATTGCTAACTGTTAACGTGCACACTGGTTTTAGAAATACACAGCTACCTAATAAAAGTGGGAAAAAATTCTTTAATGGCTTTCCTACTATACATTAGATATAACAGAAGATGTAATATCTTCCCAACAAAAATCCCTGGGCATGAGACATATCATCAGCTTTATCGCTGCAACAGAAGATAAAAGATTATCGCCATCATAGAAAGCATAATATTTTCAAGAAACAAAAGGTTAGACATATTAAAAATAAATCCCATGGCTGTATGTATATTAGACAATACTTGTACCTTACTGCATTACAGCAACATGCAAATTTTAAGAACTATTACATACAAATTAAAAGCCAGGGACATTACATCTAAAAGACAGTTCCACCTTCAACTCACTTAAGGGATACGTGGATATTGGGCAGTTACTTAAAGCTGATCCACTCCAACTTCTGGGTGAAAAGAATCTGTACTATAGCCACAGTCACGTTTGATTAGAAATTCATTCTTTAACTTTACTCTTAGGCCAGGGGGGAGGGGGTGGGAGAGGGTGGTGTTATTTTATTTTTGTTTGTTTTTTCCAAGTCATAAGCACATAATTTTATTTGAACTCAAGATATTTCAGACCATACCATCCCTGAAGAGTCACTCTTTAAATAGGGATTTTATGAAATTTCAAGAACAAGCACGTTTTTTTAAAATGCATCTCATCAATTTCTCTGTACACATGAGCTCTTAGAAATTGTAAGAGATAAGAATTATTAAGACCTGGCGCTGTTGATCTTCAAGTGAATACTGCAGCACACATACAATAACGTGTACATATGTGCATATATATATACATCCACATATGTCTATGTACCACTATTCTTCATGTAATAAAGCATTTACACAGCTTGAAGAGTAGCTGGAATTCATCAGTACCACTTTTGAAAAATACTCTAGCATTCACTTATTGCCCTAAATGATAATTCCAGAAAAGCATACCAAGTTTCCATTTTATAATTTCATTAGCGAGATAAGGCACATTAAAACCTTTTAAAGCCAACACGGATCCAGTCCTTTCTAGTTAAAAAATTAAAACCAACAACTGTAAGTTACTTTTTGTGCATGTAATAGTTTTTCAGGGCTGTGTGTGTTTACAAAAAGCATCAGCTCTATTTTGCAGTCAGGCCATGTAAATTATTTGCAAGGTACAGTGGAAACACTGTCTAGCCCTTAACCAATGTCAAACTCTGCAACACAAAGCTTTAATCTGTTTAGTTCAAAGCCTACATTTTAAATACATGACACCACACACCATAGACACCTCAAAAACTTGCCATTTCCTCAAAATCTATAGCCAAAATTCATTTTACCATCTAGTATTTAGTAAATAAATAATCTAACACTCTTAAATCTGAATAAGAAGCAAAGATATCAGATTTGGTTTGCCAAGTTCCTTTATTGTGCAATTTTGAACATCTAGTATATTCTACATTGTGCTAGTGCTAAAGTTCTGCTGTACAAAAATAAGGAATTTATAGTTTACCTATACTACACAGTTTCACAACCTGTAACTGCAGTACATTTAACATACAGTCTCCACTAAATGAATACATTTATATTTTGATAAAACTATAGATACAGACTGAATGAACACTGAAGACACAACAAATGGAGTCGGCCTGCTAGCTGTGTTTAATTTATTGGAATTATCTTATTTCAATACATCTTACAACCCTGTCCCCAACCTTTAATTTACTTTTAAACCTTCTACACATTTTCATGGCATCAAGTACTGGAAAAATGTACTTACAACCCTAAAATAAAGGATTCAAAACATATCTGCTTTTTCATATTCTGAATGGGAATTCCATACAAAGTTTAAAAAAAAGCCAGAGCTTTGATTTTGTGAAAATATGGGAAGGAACATGTAACAGCTAACTTAAAATTATTTATCTCTATCTAGGTATAAATATTGCAAGGCTTATCTATTATGGAATGTTTTTATGTAAAAAACTGAGAACAGAAAAAAAGCTTAGACAAGTTTCTTTTTAGAGTCAACACATCAATAACACATAGTAGTGCAAATAACAGCAACACATTTTGGAATGACTGATTACTTCTATCATGAAGTTCACATGACATTTTAGGAATAACACTGATTTATTGCAAGTAATGGCCCAGAGATGCTTCTCCACACTTGCTTCTTCTTCCATTATTACTTACTGTAGCTATGAATCTGGACCAGAAACACATCAAAATTAGTAAAAGGTGTGTCCTACGTGGCATGGTAAGTAGAAAACTTTCTACATTTTTTAAAATCTGAATCGCTTCTCCTTATTCAAGATGACCATAAGTACTACGCCCTAGTCAGTCTTAAAGTTTGCAATTCTTAACTACTTCTTAATATATCTTAAGGTATATTCTGGGCTGAGGGAATAAATGTACGACCAGAAAAAAATGCACATTAGTAAGCATTAAATCTTATTACTTGTTGGACTACAATAAGTACTGAAGTGCATAAAAATACATAATATGCATTTTCAACAAGTTCCCATTTTAATGAATTTTAACTTTAAATTGATATTACAGATTAGTAAGATCATTCTAGAAGTATTCTTTACATTTTCTAGTTACTTCAGCTGAAGATTAGGCTTTTAAAGTTAAGCACTACCATTCTTAAAGTATCCTAGGATAACAGCAAGATTATTCACTGTAGTGTTGAGAGTTTCAGATGCTGTAGCAGTCCTACCTTACAAGCCAATACTGCATTATCCATTTACACCAGGAAACAATAACTGCCTAAGAATTATGAAGTTAAATGTAACAAAGTTAATCAACTTCTGTTCTTTAAGTTCTCCTTCAGTTCAGCCTCTCAACTTCCCTCATGAGTAAGGCCAAATTCTGCACACAGCTGATACAAATCACTGCTGGGTTGAATAGTGTTTACTACATATTCATTAATTTAAATAATATCTTTGTGCAACAACAGACAAAAGATTGAGGACAACTCTAAAAAGAAGCAAAGACCCTTGAGGGGAAGTACAATGCATTTCCTCAAGTTGTTCAGACATCATCCCATTAAATTAGTATTAAAGTGCTTTATAACTACATACAGAACCCTTCTGCCTCTATGCAAGTATGACACTTAGCTCATTCCTGAAATTTTGTATTTGTATAAATGCAAAGTACTGGCAGCCAAATTCACTGTATGTACCATAATAACATGTAGTTCCAGTGTTTAGGTTCTTCATTTATAAAATGAAGTGTCTGTACAAAAATGTCACCTTTCCTCATTGTAATATTGCTGGGGTACAATGAGGCCAGCCTTAACTTGAACATATTTCCATATTCTAGGTCATGGGTTTGTCTGAACTCAGACAAAGTATCTAAGATACAAAGGTAATACTTGCGCAAATTAGGAGAGTTAGCATGCTGTAAATTAATGTGTGAATTTACAGCATACTTGTTCTTCACCAATTCTGTGAGTGGGCATACACAGTAAGCTCTTCAAAAGCCTGGTGCAAAACTGCTCACTGCTTTGAAATGCAGAAAGCCATCTGACACTTAACTCATGCAGTGTTACCATGCACTTGGATATTCCTGCTATGCTGTCAAAAAGATTCACGCTATTGCTTACTGTGTACCAACTCCTCCCATTAGGCAAGTGTTAGATTAAAACACGGAAATGTCTGTCTGGACATTTGTTCAGGGGCAGAACAGATGTAGTTTGCCAAGACCTTGCGAATGAGGCCTTTCAAAAAGTTGCTACTTTCTGAAGGAGCACCTACACAGGTAGTAAGTGCTTTAAAATTGCACATTAATTTGTCTGAACTCAGAATTCCCATGTAGGCAAGTTCTCTGTGAAATTTCTGAAGCTGCACTGTGTTATCTTCATGCAAGTTAAGGAGGGAAAAAAAGTGCACAATATATTCCTCTAACTTACTAATCACTGATATCACAGTTATGAATAACTCTGTGTATCGTGCCCCGTGTGCTGTTAAAGATTATTGGGGGTATATACACATAACTAGACTTGTAACATACAGGTCTAGAGGAGCCCACTTCAAAAATAGACATAACCTATGCAAACAATGCATACAGCATGTCTTATGTTTCATAAACAAACTCCAAGCTGTGGTTGTTTTTAAATACCAAAAGGCACTATAAATCCAGTTTTAATGATAAATCTTTTAAAGCAAACTGCTTTCAAATATCATTTTTAGGTAGGTGACCCAAAATGCCTAAGACTTGCAGTTTCAGTCTAAATTTAAAGAACTCCCACAATACAAATTTAAAGCAAAATTTTGACAGAGTAAGATGAGCTCCCAGCTTTTGTTCATCATGAATGCTTAAAGATTAGCTTTGACAAATTTCTGATGTACTTTCAAGTAAGTAAATACGTTAGCAGGTGCCTTAAAGATGGCAGTAATCAAGCTGTAACCCTACCATAATTGGATAACAAAATATTATGGCTAAATGATTTGTACATAACTACATAGAAAAATGGCACTCAAATTACCATCTTCACAGACATTTTGCAAGATATTCTGATTATTTCATTTAACTCCATATAACAGGAACCAGGATTTACTGGTCGGAAGTTTGCACCGTCAGCGGACTCATGAAGAACACTGAGCACAAATGAACTATTTCTCTGCCACCTGAATAATTTTCAGGGCTATAGGCTGCTGCAGTTTCACAGCCAAATTTTTTCAGGACATAGAGCAGGACTATATGAGTGCCTTTTTCAGAGGTGTACACTAGATGGCCAAGGGCACTTGAAGGTCTATTAAAAAGCCTGTATGTGTTAAGAGTTTAGTTGTTGGAAGGGGAAGGGGGCCAGGGGGTCTGTTTAGAAACAAAGTTACTTATTTTTTTTTAAATGATCCACCTTCTACTCTGCTTTCCAGGTACTTGTCCAACTCTGCCTCTCTTTTCACCGCCTCTGGCGATACCTTTGGTGCATTCGGAAAACAGATCAATATCACACTCATGTTGTCTCGACTTCCCTGGTGGAAAAGAAAAAGTGATTTGAGAATGTATACACACCAGGCTAAATACACATCAAAGCATTTTACACACAAAAATTCACAAATCATATGGTATTAGAATACAACTGTTACTACTATGGATTAATATTATCATTAGCCTTAACTTCCCCCCACACCCTTAGAGAATTCCAGAAGTCTGCCCATTCATTCAGTACAACTTTTAAGTCACTTTGTTCCTCCCTCTTTCATGGTCTAAAGACTACATGGAGCCAATTACAGACAGCCCATTGTCTCTTAAAAACTGACATTACTAACAAGCAACGTGTAATTACAAAGTTGTGTTCCATCTTGTTTTAAGTACTATCTAATAATTTTGGGAAAACAGCTGAATATTAGATGGGTAAACAAAACCATTACTGCTTAAAAGCACTAAGTAGGGAGGTGTTGAATTCAGACAGTGCTTCCACCTAAAATCACAGCTATTAGGGTGTCCCCCGTCCCATCCCCCCCCCGTTTTTTTAAAAAAAGAAAAGTTACAAGTGAGAGAATGCATTAAAAGACCAGCTGGAAGGGGCCCAGGCCTTTACAAAAGCATTCTTTGAAATGGAAACATTTAAAAACTCCAACTAAACAGAACCCTAATACTTGAATACCTTAAAATACAAACACTTTCTGCTTATGAAAAGTAACTGTTTAGTTTACTTTCAATACCCTTGTGCTCTGGTCTACAAACACGCATCCACATGCTTAACTTTTAACACCAATTAAATTCACTGAAGTAAGCTAGATGAAGAACAAGCCAATGTTTAAAACAAGAGTATATGGGCATATGGGGAGGTGCTGACAGTGGGCTACTGCAAAGCTTACAGCATCCACAAGCCACTGTTCCTTCCCTGGTATTTGTTTTCAGGGCTACCAGACAAAAATTGTGAGCAAAAATATATGCATTATCAATCTGCCAAAGTGTTGGAAAGCAATTACATTTTTCCAACAGGGAAACAATGACCTTGTTAGTCATGTGACAAGAGCAGAGATGCTGTCTTGTCTCTTTAGTATCAAAAATGTTGGCTTTTTTACATTATGACTTATAGCTTGCCTTTGGAAAATTAAGTGTCAAGCTATGAAACTCAATAGTTCAAATCTCTTCCGTAACTGTACCATCCTACAACTTACTAATACAAAGTAGAAGTTATTGTAGACAAAATTACACAGATTTGTTAAACAAAACAGTCCCATCTTCTTCTACTTGAGCTAGTTTCAGAGCTGTATCACACAACACTGAATAAGAAATACAGTAATTAAACGAGAATAAAAAACTAACTTAGGAAGTCAGATCTTCGTATAGTCAAGAAGAAATTTTAAACTGCAAAATATGAAGTCAAGGTTCATTTATTCTGCACTTATCTTGGTGTAATTATGACAGTTATGTTACTACTATATGCCCAAGAAAGCATAGGAAGATTAGGAAGGGAAAGAATATTCTCTAGCTTGATTTAAGTCTTAAGAGTTTTGTAAAGTATGTTGTGAAACAGAAAAGGGCAGTTACTGTCCTTGGCTTGCCCATAAATTCCCATCAGCTTCTAGTTTCCCAATGATCACAACGTATCTGTACATGATTTTAAACTCTTCATTAACCGAAACCACCCACAAAGCCATACTGTTTCTGTTGTGTGTTTGTTCCCCCTCTATCACCATTTTTGTGGGAATCATGGTAATGACTGTCAAAGTCATGTTAACATAAACCATTGGATACTTATAGACTGGAATCAAAACTTATTCTTAACTTGTTCATAAACTTCTAATAATGAAAACACAGTAAACTTCTTCTCTCAAGTCTGGCTACCTTGTACAAGCAGGTGTCAACTATCTCATTGCAAACTTTCTCAAGGTCATCAGTGACTTCAAGTCTGGATCTTACAAAGTCACACAGCTCTTCATTTCCCATAACATCCCAGATACCGTCGCAGGCCAGTATGATGAACTGATCATCATCTTCTGATCTCTCAATTTCATAAACTTCAGGCTCAGGTGAGACTAGCTGTTCTGTAGGACCTTTCCCATGGACACATTTGTAATCAAAGTCCCCAAGTGCCCTTGAAACAGCAAGAGAGCCATTCACACGCTGAATCATTACAGAGCCACCTGCATTCTGTATACGCTCTTTCTCCAGTGGATTACTTGGTTTGTGATCCTGTGTGAAGAAGTGAACCTTCCTGTTTCTACAAAGTAAACCTCTCGAGTCTCCACAGTTGATGAAGTATGTATGTTGGGGAGAAATCATGACACCCACAGCTGTTGACCCACTTCTGTCTGCGCCATGTTTCTTCTCGGAGATGACTCTCATGTGTTCATCAATTTGCAGAAAACCTGTTCTGATGCCGCTCTTTACACTTTCCACAGATGGTGGCCCATCTGGCCCTTTAAAATCCTGGTTGCTCGTGATGTGATCTAATAAATGCTCACAGCAGTACTTGGCAACCTGTGATCCAGCGTGCCCATCATATACAGCAAAAAATGACCATCCATCAAGTCCATTTGGCAAACCAATCACAGCCGTATGTGCATCCTCCATTTCAACTCGCCAGCCTTGCATACTACTCAGACCATAACGAAGCCCATTCCCTTGCCCCTGGGCATTATGCTTCTCCATCTTTGGCTTGTCTAAAAATGCTCCCATGATGACACTCCTTCAGTTCTAAAAAGAAAAAAAAAGATTATTAAGATATTTCTTAAACATCTCTTGTTTAAACATCCTATTGGAAACTATTAAATAATAGCCCAAATAATGTTAAGATGGCAAAAATATACAGATATAAAGCTGACTTTTCTGTGTCTCAAGCCAAATTTGCATTGCTTTCATCTAATTTAAACAAGGACACTGCTACTAGCTGAACTGCACTTTTCATATTTTTGTTAGTATCTTCAGCTGTTTTACTTGAAGAATTTATATTCCACTATCATTCATGGTTCTGAGAAAAGCCTCTAGTATAAGTATGTATGAAATCAGTTTGAAACACGACTTGTTAACTGGCACACATCTGAATAGCTATGGTCCTTGTGATTACTGAGCCAATGAAAGAGTTCAATGTTTGCAGGACAGTGGCATTCCCTAGATCCCTATCTGCTGGCCATAAAGTCCTGCTCATACTCTGCTTTTCCAATGGCGATGGGGAAACGAAAGCAAACTGATTAGGTTTTCTTTTGGGATAGGAGGTTCGGGGGTTTTTCTTTGGTTGGTGGTGTTTTGTTTTGTTTTTTTAAACAGATAAAGTGATCTGAATGATCAAGATGATGCCAGAGTTTGCATAAAAGAAGAGGCAACACTGGATAACTAGGAGCAGGACTCAGAAGGAACAGAGCAGCTGTCCCTTTAGGCATCAGCAAGCCATTAGTTTGGCGCAGCCATCTCGTGAAAGCTCATCCTTAGATTTTTCAGTTAAATTACGCAGCAAGCTTCTCAGATGTCTGTGCTGCAGATTTACTTAAAACCTTAATGTATTCATGCTTCACTGAAAGACAACTGCCCCTGACAAGTCTAAGGAAATCTGTTTGGAAATAAAATCACACATATTGTAAATTCATGCTTCCTTATTCAAGTCAGACCGATATACTGCACACCCTATCCTCCTCCACCTCCCATCACTGGGATGTGATGCATGCTTAAGAGAGTAAGAATTGTATTTGCAGCCAGCGTAAACTGACTGGTTTATCTTCATGGCTTTCACACCCTAACCATCCAACCCACCCTGCTAATCCACATCAGTTTATTTGTGCATTCATTATTTAAAAAAATCATACAAAATAGGTCACACATTTTACATATTTGCAAATTCTGCCCTGGGAAGCATCAAAGAGTGTGCAAATCACTGTTATACAATACAAGGTAATGGAACAAGACTATGAGCTCTTCTATTTGAAGACAGTGGACAAAAATTAACTGAGTCTCTGAAACAGATTTTACGTGAGGCCCCAACTAAGCAGCTGCACTAGCAGAAAAGTTAGTACAATAGGGATTTTAGAAGGTTTTAACTTGTGGAATACATTTGATCAGTTTTCTAAGTGATAACACCACTTTTTGATAACATGCTTTTATTGAAATACAGCTCCAGCTCTAAGTGACACTATATATCCAACAAAGCTTTTCACATTGTCTCTTCCAGCCACTATCAACCTTTCTAAAACATCTGTACTTGTTAGAATAAACTGTCGAGAAATATTTATAGTTGATCTCACCACAACAGTGATTCAAATGTGAGGCACAGGGACTGGATATACACTCTTTGGCTCACGTGCTTTGTTAACAAAAACAAAAGCCACACATACTTCAGCTGTATGGAGACAGATGTCAGCAGCAGTACACCTCTGCTTCCTCTCACCCCAACCCCTGCTCTTAAGTTCTGTCTCTTCTCAAGCGAACACAAAATATGCCCATGCAAACTGTAACTAGCCAACAAAATATATAGCGTACACTGACTGGTCTTGTATCCTAAGCACATGCACGAGGTTCACATTACTGCAGTTGCTAGGAAAAAAATATGACTTAAGACTTTTTTATCTTCACATGCAACTCTAGTGAAGTCAGAGTGATCAAAATAATTACAGAATGCTGCCATAAATCAAATGGGGAGTTATTTTGTAGAATAATACTTTTTATTCATTCCATGATAGCAGCAGAGTTTAAACTAACACTTAACACATTCTTATTGTCAAAGAGATCATAAAATAGAATGCAGATATTCAATTATTTCACCTTAATTTAGAGCTCAAAAAGCAGAAACTGCCCTGGCAAATGCCACATTTTTGTGAAGTATTTTACATTATTACTGTGTTTAAAACAGAAAAGCATTAAGAACAGGATACAGTTAAACTGACCACAAGCACTGTCAGATTTGGACTAAAAAAGGCAGTTTTCCTTCTAATCTCTCACATTACTATGTACACAATATTCAGAGTTGTGCTTTGTAAGCTGTTTGTCCCTCTCAGTAGTTTGTCATGTAAACCACAATGAAAAATACATACAGACAGGTCGTATGCAGTTCTAGCAACTCATACAGAACTGGTATAACACTTCAAAAATTAACAAATCCACTCTCCATTTAAAATCAAGTTGCCTTATCCCTCCCTAGAAGGTAAATTGAAAGCTGTTGCTATTCTAAATTAAGCCTTGTAGGTGAGATGTTGACACATGATTCTTCAAGGGTGCGAGCTACCCACCATAGAGGCAAATGCAACCAGACAGAAGGATAACCACAACGTCGTCACATAACAACTTCTTAGGAAATTATTCACAGCCCATAGCATAAAGTAATCACCTTCCAAAAACTGCAATAACAAACTGCAGTTGCCTTCCTTGCAACACTCTAGCTAATCATACTTTCACCAGAATGCCAGTCTAAACCTGTAGGAGAATAGGCCAAGTTTTCAAAATCCTCACTTTATCTGAAGGGAAAGCATAGTTTACTTGTGGATAGGATGAATATGCCAAGCCTTTAGTTTTCTCAGGGTTTCAATTCTTGTTCAGAAAAATTTGCGTTTAATATGACCGATCTGTGAATTCTTATGAATCGGAGGCTACCTGCTACTTCTGCCCCCACACCCTTATGCGTGGCTAAAACCTGAAGAATTTAAAGTGTCTTAGTTATAAGAAAAAAAAAAATCTTATTTTTAAAAGGGACACACACAAAAAGACTAACATACGTGCCTCTTTCCTACTAAAAATACCTTTTAGACCTGTTTTTGAGTCCACGTCTACGGAAACATCTTTCACACATCAGTGCCTACCTAAATGACGAGTACATTCTTCATTCTTTCATGAGGTGGTTTGAGCACTATACTGATTAAGTTGGAATGACACCTTTAGTTAAGCATATAACTCTGCATGCAAATCAGATTAACCTATAGCAGTGCAAGCGCCCAAGTTACAGCACGACTTTGTTATGTAATAACACTAAAGAGAGAAGTCAGACCCAGAACAGTCTGCATGCATGATGTGCAATAAAGCAACAGATCCTGAACAAGGTTTAACTTAGCCCTCTCTTATATTTCTTTAGTCATCTTCCTGAACAGGAGTCCTCATCTTATGACCCTTATTCTCCAAATAATTTTACTACCCTTCTCCTTGCCCTTCTTAACCCAGCCACACATTTCTGCAATCATGTTAGAAAACTGCAGTCCCATAGCGGGAGGCAGAACCAGTCCTCTACTCTGGAAGCCTCAATTTTTCAGGATACTTGAATGATGCACATGGGTGCTAAAGGAGACCGACATTCTTCCTATTCCCATTAAAACCAGAGTAAGAGAAAATGAACTTTAATCATGAAGTTCAGTGGCAAATGTACACTGCACTTTTTTTTTCTTAGAGAAGGACAATTCTGAACAGTACTATAGTAGCAGTGCCCTGTAAAAAGATCAGAGGTGCAACATTTTCTTCAGAAATGCTAACTCTAAAACATCATATGGCACTGCAACTGCCACAAAGATTAGTCCAGCAAACTTCACTTTTAAGCTAAGATGATTCTTGGTTCACCATGTCCGTATTGGTGACTTCCATTAGTTTCTCCTAAAAGAGAAGAGCTTTCTGCAGTCAAAGGTCCTGGGTTTTGGCTCTGAAGCATAGAGAAGGTTCTGAACAAAACTAAAAGTAAAAATGTACCCTATGCATAAAAACGAATATCTATGCATCTGCGAGTGCATCCAAACCATGACTTCCGAAATGCTGATTTTGTGGAGGTCAAACTGAAGGACAGCCTCTACAGCAAGTGCACAAAAAACTCAAAAAACCCCAAACCTCTCAAGTTGCAGTTTGCAGACAGAAAAGCAAGTATACTGTACAGGGCCTAGAAAAATCAACACAAGTAACAAGATCTTGGATAAAACACAAGAGTGCCAAAATTCAAAGGACTGCAGCATTAGAAACAAAACTGAAATAATGAATGGAGCACGCTGAAGAGTCAGTAGCTAAACTCCTTGAAAATAGATGCAAATGGAGAACAGAGTGGCAAAGAAAAGGAGGGTAATTAGTATACCGGACCATGGACAACCATGGACAACCACAGATACATCACTGGAATGCATGAAATCTCTTTGCCCCTTCATTTGTCCCTCAAATTGTGCTATCCAGACAGCACAACTGTAACGCCTTCTGATACACACGAAAATAATTTTACTGTTTTGCTATTTGCTTATTCATTTGCTTGAAGGTTCAAATGAAGATAAGTCTTAAACTGTTCACAAAGGACAGTTAATGTAACTCCATGTACCCCTGTAAAAAGACAATTTCTTTTTCCAAGGAATTCACACAAGGTTTTGATCACCTTGTCCAAGAAAACTAACCACCGCCATCTGAAACTTGTACTTTAACAGTACGTAATTTAATAATCCTTTTCAAACAATGTTCAAGTTGTATTCCTTCCACTAGGATAAGCTGCTTACGTGAACCACACTGAAATCATAGGCACTTGTTCAAACTAAGCTGAGAAACGATCCCACACTCCAATTTCCTGGAACAATTCTCTAAATGACATTACGCCCTGTGTGTTGTAATGAGCACCATAAAGAAAGATTACAACCTTTACTTGAACTATGGGACACAGAGCAAGTCACCAAATTATACAGACTGCTACTGAATAGAAAAAGGGCATCTGATCACTTCAAGTCCAATCTGATCGGTGGTACTTTGCCCCCTGCCTTAA